GATAAATAATCATGTTGTTGTGATCATGATCTTGGTGAGCTGGGGGGTTTCTGCTGTGATTGGAATCGGCTTCATTATTGTAGGAATAAACCAAGAAATATGTGCTGGACCATGTTTAATCGCTTCTTTAATGGCAAACATTTTGGGACTTATTTTCTCATTTTACCTCCCAGCGATTGTAATGCTGTTTATCTACCTGAAGATTTTCCTTGTGGCACAGAGACAGGCACGCAGCATCCAGAACACAACCCGTCAGAGAACAAAGTGTGGAGCCACTGTCAGTAAGATGGAGAGAAAGGCCACCAAAACTCTGGCTATTGTGATGGGAATTTTTTTGCTGTCTTGGCTTCCTTTCTTTCTTTGTACTACCGTTCTTTCTTTCAGTCATGTTTACGTGCCGCTTCCTTTGATTGAATTACTTAATTGGCTTGCACTGTCAAATTCTATGCTCAATCCCTTTATTTATGCTTTGTTTTACAGCTGGTTTAGATCAGCTTTCAGAATGATAATTTCTGGAAAAATAATTCAGGGTGATTTTACAAACTCAAAACTGCTCTAATTAATGGTTAGCTGTGCTGAAATACAGTATGTATTGTGTCTATGATGAAAATGTATGGAATATCCACATGCAAAAACATACACAAATATGTATGCACAACACACACACACTATAGACTGTACTGTACCTGAGGTAAAAGTATAAAAACTACGTTGAGTAAATCCCTTGAAATCTATATGAATGTTTTAAAATACTTAATCAATGAAAATCTGTTGTTCACATATTCTTTTGTTATTGTTAAAAATGTGATTCATTACTGGTACAACATGACACACAAGGGTGTGATTTTGAAAACATTCGTAAAGATTGGTTTGCAAAATCCTTTCCAAAGTTCCAAAGACCTTCTCAGGCAGGTGTTTCCAAAGCCTGCCTCTGACAGTAGCCGTGTTGAAATTTAATTGTCTTGCAACTTTGAAGCTAACTTTTGTCACACAAAAAATAACGTTCAGAATAAAGTAACAGTAGGCATTTTTCCATCAACTGGTTTGGAGTGAATAAACTAGAAGGGATTGAAGTTTTGTTAGAAGTGAAGGAAAAAGTAGAGGGTGCCAACTAGAGCAGGGGTCTTCAATGTTTTTCAGGCCAAGGACCCCCAAACTGATAGAGAGATGGAGCAGGGACCCCCAACTCTATATATTGTATACAATTGTGTTTTATATTAAACTGGGCCTAGTGCGATGTATAAACATACCTTGTTATTGTGCATTCAATACTAAGCTATTCAAATAATACACAGGTTCATATATTCATGTTTTTATTTTAAACGTGCAAGGTACAGTGAGTAGGGTGGCCGTGCCACTGCCATTTATAAACATACCTTGTCAACTGATACCAATGCCAATATCAACATTGTCTGTCATGCATACAAGCTATTCAAATTGACGTTTTTTTAAACATAAATGTGGAAATGAAAATGAGTGATGGCCTATTAGTGCCACTGCCATGCATAAACATACTTGTCATCTTGCATACAATACTTAACTATTAAAATAATGGACAGATTCAAGTTTGAAAAAAAAAATTTAAATTGTAATCAACCAAAAGTTGTCCCAGTATGTGGAAAACTTCATGTAATGATCTCCATTATTTCCTTTTAACAGCTGAAAATTCATACAAACTATTTTAAAACAAGTCCCTTGTAATTCATTCCATTTTGAATGAATTTGTATGTAACAAAAACATTGACATATATGATGCATTGAGAACGTTTTGGATTAAGGAATGAATACCACATCTGAAAGTGGCCCAAGAATGCAGCTACATTAAAACCTTCAGAGAGAGAAGACAGTCAACTGATTGCAAAAACATTAGATCCATCCATCCATCCATCGTCTTCCGCCTATGGGTCGTGGGTGCAGCAGGTTTAATATATGACGTCCCTCTCCACAGCAAGGCTTTCAAACTCTTACTGGAGAACCCCAAGGCGTTCCAAGGCCAGATGAGATATATAGAGTCCCTCCAGAGTGTTCTGGGTCTACCCCAGGGCCTTTTATCAATTGGTCGTGCCCAGACAACCTCAAAAGAGAGGCGTCCAGAAGGCATCCTGATCAGATGCCTGAACCACCTCAGCTGGCCCCTTTTGACGTGCAGGAACAGTAGCTCTGAGGTCCCTTTTCTATCTCAAATGCTGAGCAAAGCCACCCTGCAAAGGAAGCTCATTTTGGCCACTTGTATCCGCAATCTGTTACTTTTAGTCACAACCCAAAGCTCATGACCATAGGTGAGGGTCGGAACGTAAATGGACTGGTAAATCTAGAGCTATACCATCCAGCTCAGCTCCTTTTTCACCACAACAGTGCATAACAACGCCCAGGGCACTCCTGGCGCTGCACAAAACCGCCTGTCCATCTCATGCTCCATTACACCCTGACTCAAGAACAAGACCATGATAAACTTGAACTCCCTTGCTTGGGACAGTGACTCACTCCAAACCGAGAGGGTGCAATCAACCTTTTTCCCGCAAAGAACCATGGCCTCAGACTAAGAGGGACTGACTCTCATCCCGATCGTTTCACACTCCGCTGCAAAGCGCCCCAGTGCATGCTGAAGGTGACGTTCTGAAGGAGCCAACATCACCACATCATCTGCATAGAGCAGAGATGCAATTCTATGGTCCCCAAACCAGACATTCTCCTCCCCCGGCGGCACCTTAAAATCCCCTCCCTGAAAATCACTAACTGGATTGTTGAAAAGGAACAACCCTGACGGAGTTCAACACACACTGGAAATGTATTGTACTTAATGCCAAGTTTACGGACACAGCTCTCATTTTGGGCATACAAGGACCAGATGGCTCGTACCAACGACCCCGGTGCTCCGTATTTCCACAGTATCCCCCACAGGACTACCAGGGGTACATGGTCGTAAGCATTCTTCAAGTCTACAATAGTGAGGGGGTCACAGGTCGCAACCATACAAAGGAAAGGAGTGAAGACACCGTCAGCTGCGGGGGAAGAGAAAGCAGACTTCAGAGGAGGATTGACCAGGCCAATGGGTCAAAGGCCAGGAGGAGCTTATTGGATTTCAGCCAATTACTAAGCTGATACGGGACCTCTCAGAGACACTCGGAACACAAAAGAACTGTGACTGTCCGGAGAAGATCAGACCTAATGTGGAGTACATTACAGCTAGACTGGGCAATGCCAAACTGTGGTGTGTGACATATTTGGTCTCTGCTCCATGGAACATTAGATTATTAATAGTGTGATTGAGTTTGTAACTGTTTTTGCATTTGTTGGATAATAAATCCTTTTGATTTTGACTTGGACCAGCTGTTCTATTTTGGAGGCGGATAAGAAGCACATGGCAAGGGGGAAGGGTGGTTTCTCTCTTCGATCAGAAGTGCCCTAACAACGGTTTGCAAGAACTTCCTTAAGGCCAACTGGAAGTCCTTCTCCATCACCTCTCTGAACTCCAACCGCAACAGGGTTTTTGCTTTGGAAACCACAGCTGCAGCCCTTTTGGCCAAGATGTACCACTTCAGCTTGACAGCCTCCTTCATTCTTAGGTTGACGCAACGACTGGCTGGGTACTCCAAAATTCTGTTCGGTGCTCAAGCACAGTAGCTATTGCCCACAAAACACAACTCCCAGGGTCACACAAATGCCTCCACCAAGTTACATCCCTCATGAAAAGTTTTAGATATTCAAACAAAATGATTTAATGAATTTCCATGTAGGAAGACATAACATTGACACCCTTAAGTAAGATGAAACCTGATCAGAACAGAGGCTGTTACAGTCCGGCTCAGAGGTTACAACAAAAATGGGAGACCAGACAGGATAAAAGTAATAAATAAGCACATTTATTTACAAAATTATTCAAAACAATAGAACAAACGTGGAAAGTAAGTAATCAGTAATGTAAGCATGTGTGGATGTGTGAAAAAAAAGAAGGGAAAAAAACAGTTGTGTCAGCCAAGGGCAAGAAAATCATGTTCAGGTGGTGAACTTTAACACCAGGCTTAGGTGCTGGTCATCAGCTGACAGCCAGAGTCCTGTAAGAGAAAGAACTGCCCGGAAAAGGAACACGACCGATAGTGGATTGGATGAGTCTTCACAAAGGCCATCAAGAAAATGGTAGACTACTACTTGGCCCCAAACTTAGGGTTGGGTTATCTGACCCAAGGTCGGATTCAAACTGAAAATGTATGTGCTATTTGAGTATTTGCTCAGCCAGCATATGTTTTGTTTCCTGGACAAAGGGAAAGATTATCATAAGTTATTTTATATTGTGTCAATACAATAATTATTTTATCTTTTATTTCTTGATGAAATGAAATGCACACACAAACACAAAGTAAAAATAAACAGCAAGTTGTTAGCTTTCATTGCGGTTTGGGATCTCACAGGACACTCTATCCTAAGTTTGATTGCACAATGAGGTTTGCATTAATTATAGTAATGAGACAGGAATTAATAAATATTCAGTCTAACTCAGGCAGAGTGCCACTGTAATCAAGGACTTCTATACTGATGTGTAGACTATCTGGAGGGTTCAAAAGCTGTGGTATGAAAATGTATGAAGAGCTAGGATAGAAAAACCGAATGTTTTAAATGTGCATTAATACTGAACATAATATTTTGTCAATCAAATGCTTAGAACTGAATATTTCTCAATCTTATTTTTCATAATGTATGTGTGGATAACTGAATGACAGGAACGCATTAGCTTGGACATGGATATCAGCATCAACAGGACTAATGTGCTTACTGAGATACATCCCTGCTATAAGATAGATGTCTCTTACGTACTAACGAGCAACCCTTCTGCAATATGTGTATTGTTTCATATTTTCCTTAGCTCATTATCTGCTATAACTGTATGTGGAAACCTGCTTGTAATAATCTCCATCACTTACTTCAAACAGCTCCACACTTCTACAAACTACCTCATATTCTCTCTTGCTGTGGCTGACCTACTTGTTGGGCTTTTAGTCTTTCCTCTCACCATGGAATTCTCTAGAACGTCATGTTTGTACTATGAAGATTTATTTTGTAAAGTACGGACCACCTTTGATGTATTACTGTGCATATCTTCTATTCTAAACTTGTGTTGTATTTCTATTGACCGATATTATGCTGTGTGTCAGCCTCTGACATACAGAGCTAA